AATCCTAGACAAAAACTTTAATAAATACCTTTTAAGGTTTTAAACTGATTCCACCGTGTCGTGTCTTCCCATATGTTATGGCTCTTGAGCCGGGTCGTAACAAATGGCTGAATGAAAAAAGAGATCACTGGGGAGGAACCATTATACATCGCTGCACTGGTCAGCTGTTGCACAGATGATGATGATGATGATGATTGTGGTGGTGATAAAGAGATGAAAATTTAGCTGGAGAGGATTATTGTATTTTTCCACCAACATAACAAAAATAAGGTCTATCTTAATGTTAAGATATTTACTTAGTTGTTAATACATAAAAAAATTAATTGTTTTAGTCAAACCTTGTAAACATTATGCTCCATCTCATGTCATATTGTGAGATTTTGCATATATGTTTAAATGATATGTTGGAAATGTTACCATATCAAACTTTTAGCACTGTAGGTGTTATTTTAATCAAGTTAAAACCACTTTTGTGTTATGATTGTTTAACTGTGGCTTCCATCTTAAATTTAGCCTCCAAAAGTGGATCAGCTGTAGGTGTACATCTAAGGAAAACTTTTTAAGAATTCCATTCAAATCCAGTCAGTGCTTCACAAATTATTTTGCAAACAGACAAAAAAAGGGTTTTGCTAAGAGTTCCTGCCAAAGTCTGAAGCAAAAAATCTTGTGCAATGTATACTTCTCACAGTGTGTGTTTGGGATGACTGTTTATTGTTTGTCAAAGGTCAGCTGGCTGCGGCGGCCATCCCAATTTAGGCTGACTCTGAAAGTGAGTCACTTGTCGGTGTTCATCTAATTATTACGTTTTGAGAGTTCTATTCAAATCCAGCTGGAGTCAGCTGGCTGCGGTTAATCAGTTGTAAAAACACCCCAATGATCAGTTTCTGAAAGTTTAATTAAAATCAATGGTGTGGTTTATCAGGTATTTTGCTAACAAACAAATGAATAATTACACACATTTACCGTTCAAGGCAAAAACATTCCAGTCTGTCTTTTACCCTCTGCAGCAGCTACTTGTTTAAATGCAGGCCTCAGGTTCTTACCGCTCCCTCGCTTATGTTACTCTATGGAGAAACATTAAACAGACCAGTGTGGTTAATTTTTACGTGGCTCAAATGGCTCCACTTAGTAGCCTAGGAGTGCATGTTAATACCTGCCAACAGTGCTTAAGTACATTTGAATAAGCAATTTCCACAACCTTAAACACACATTGTTGCTGCACTCCCCATCAGTGGCCCTTACAAATGTGGGTCTATTTTATTGTTTCCAATTGTGTCAGGTTGCCTTTACTTCGACTGTGTTCAATTATGCTGAGTCTGCTGACAGATTAGGAGCATTTATAATTCAGTGTATGCTTTAAAAAAATCTCTAATGCACATATGTTGTAACTATTGTATCCACTGCAGCTCCCGCTTTACTATTCAGTACATTAGGCATAATTGGATTATTTATGCCACCATGAGAATTAAAGTGTGTTTTTTTTCTTCTTTCCTTTTTTCCTCAGGTGGTGTTAGTCTTTGCACTCAGCATCGGGGCCCTCGGAATATACTTTATAGACTCCTCAGAGTAAGTATCAATGTGACACATGAGCTGAAATCAAAGCTGAAGCTGGATAATTAGTCATCTTCTAGCAGTAATATGTTTTCTATGCATAGACAACAAATCATTCTAGCATGTGTATTATTGCTTATAATAATTTAGCTTTTATTCTGTGTTTATTGATAGATGCATGTGTGTGTAAAAACATGCATATTTACATTTCAGCAATAATTAAGGAGTGATGTGCACACAACGTATGAACACAAACAAACAGAGTTGACGTTTGTCAGTAGGAGACCTATCAGTTACCTTAGGAGCTGCAGCACTTAGCCTTTGTGTTGCAAAGGCTGCCCTGTGTGTGAGCGCAGACCTTAGAATATTGCCAGTTTCTGTGAAATTGTAGCTGGCAGTCACCCAGAGACAGATTGCAGGTCTGGCATTGCTCCCACAACCTTTGCAGCAACTTCTATCTTGCCTCTCTTTACATATATTTAAAAGGATAGTTGGTATTTTAGGATTCTCTGTCTTTTTTTGGAATTAGCAGTGTGTGCCACAGTGTTAGGAGTCAGCATTCTGCAGCACCAAATCACTTTTTTTACCCTGCTTTATTTACATAAATGGCGGTAAGATATGGAAAGAGAGTTCAATGCCAGCAGAACTGTCACTGAAGCCACTTGAAGGGGCTGACTGAATGAAAGTGGGAACAGAGGGTTCCATCTCTGTGCTGGAGGGATTTTAAACGTTGCTGGATCATGGCCATCCTCCAGCTCCAGATTTGAACTTCTACCTTGTACGCTTTTTTTGTGCACTGCAGTCCTATTACTGCCAGGCACAAGCCACTGAGACTGATTTCGTCCTTATACAAGCTGTGACATAATAAACATTCAACTTCTTGAGTAAAAAAAATAATAATACAGCAACGTTATTAGTGCAATCCTATTTGAAACAATACTTTTAATGCACAGAATTTAAAATACTGGAGCTGATAAATGAAGGTTGTTTTCAATACTTTTACTTTGAGATGGGTTTTCTGGCCAAAAAGTGTTTATACAACATAGACATTGACCCGAACATACACAAAAGGCATCATAAAAATAGTCTAATACATCATGTTCGTTTTATTTTTGTTCTTCAATTTTATTTTTCAGTGCAACAATACATACGTTTTCTCTTTTTATTTCATTTTTAATGAAAAACCTGAGACATTTACAAGAAAAAATGTGATTTTTTTACCAACTTAGTCAGAAAATTGTGTAAGTTCTTGTCTCAAATCATTGATTATCAGTTCAGTTTTGAGGCCCTCCATTTGTGAAAGAGTCACTGGATGCACATATGCAGCTGGTTAACGTTTGGAGTTACTAGTTGTGTCTCAGTTCAGGGGTTGCAGACCATTTAGACCACCACCCACTTAGGCCACGCCCTTTGTGGGCAATAGGCCGTCTGTGTGGTAGTAGCTGAGACTCATTCCTATCAAATATGTAAGGAGTGCTAATCTGTTTAGCATTCAAAGCTAAATGCTCATTCAAAGCTGTCTTCACTTTAAATGCTACACCTCATCTGAACATCTGAGACTTGAATTACTGATGTTTTTCACAAAGATAAAAATTCCAGTGCTCAGTTTCTTTTTCAGTTCTTTATTTCTCACATCATCGATTTACCAAACTAAATCTTGGATTTACTGCAGAGCCTGAAGTTATGAAAGGCTTATTGGAAAAGGAACCACATTGACCAAAGAAGGCTGTGTGATACTTTGTCATAATAGTCTTCCCTTTTTAAAGCTGTTACTGATATTATTTTTTGAGTAAAGGCAAGTATCTGTGACTTTTTTTCTCTTTAATTGGGAGTCTGTTAACTGTGAAATTATGTGCTTGAGGAAAGCTAGTCTAAAACACTGAGAGATACTGTATAAAATGTTCAAAGAAGTAAATCTAAATGTCAATTCAGCGTTCAGCCTTATCTCTTAGCACCAATGAAAAAACTAATTCTGGCATAAATTTAGTCACCCGTTTGCACCCCAGGATAAAAAAACCCTTTACTTCCTCCCCCGCATCTCCGCTTCTCGTTTTGCATTCTCTCATTGCCCCCATTTGCTTCCCTTTGCCCGTGGCCTTTTTTTAATCAAAAAGTTGGAATCAAGATACAGATTTGCTTCTTGTAAAAGTTTGAATCTACTTCTCATAGCGTAGTGATCATCAGAGATTCAAAATGGCTTATGGGATTCAGGTATTGACCTTGAAAATGATCGCTGAAGATAAATGACCATGATTGAAGCAGATGCAGTCATCAGCATGGCTACTGCCAGTCTGATTTATAAGTCACTGCCGAAGGGAGGTTGAAATTGGCAAAAATGTGCCATGTCATAACCTCTCCAGTGCAGGGGTACAAAAACAAAGAATGTTGAGGATCTGTTTGGTTTTTGCGGTTTCCCTCTGTATCATCTCCTCTTTGGACATCTCAGTGTATTTCTGTGTGAGTTGGCTTCCCAGAGGCATTGCCCTCATCTCTCTGTGCTCCCATTAAGCCAAGGCCCCTCATCATTGTGATTAGCTCAGGCTTGTCATTAGCGTGTGCACATGCTCTCAGGAGGGGAAAATGATCAACCCAGGGCAGGTTCAGACCACCCTTAGGGTATTTGACATCCGAAAAGTCTTGGGCTTGCGTTGTAGCTTTAGATTCAGCACAGCCGCTAGTGTCTGGTGTGTTACGTGATTTCTTTCTTTCTTTCTTTCTTTCTTTCTTTCTTTCTTTCTTTCTTTCTTTCTTTCTTTCTTTCTTTCTTTCTTTCTTTCTTTCTTTCTTTC